GATGGATGGATGGATGGATGGATAATTGATGTAATTGATTTAATGGCACAATAATTTATTTGTCAAACTTCTTTTTGACCCTATAATTTATTTTAATACGCCAGTTATATATTTATACATTTATTTCCAATAATGATAGGTTTGGTCCTCCATACCTCCAGATCTCAAACAGCTTCAATCATTTTGATGCTTTTTAATTGAAAACTGTTTTTCCTGCTTTATTGTTGTTGTACCCAAACCTTAACTTAACTCACCAGTGATAGTAATAATTTATCTCTTTTTCTCCAACATCTCCAGACCAACATACACATAGAACTGAACATTCTTACTCTAACGTTGCTAACGTTGTTTTTTGTCAATAAAACTGAAGCATTTTTGCTACTTTTAGACAATTTGTGCACAAAACAACAGCATACATTTTCTCTGACACTGGAGCTTTTTGAGTTAAGGTCTCAGAGTGGAGGTTTTTTAGAAACGTCCGGCATATGTGTGAAATCTCACATGTGCAATATGGACGGCTGCAGTCAATAGTTTTTCTTTTCTGCGTAAGTAGATGAATAACAGTAACAATGGCGGGTAGCAGAGTGCTGTTTGTGCTGCGCACTTTTTCCAACATGTAGGAGAGACTCATTCTCATTCTCGTTCCAAACAAAAGCTTGTTTATGAACCATTTTGGATATAACTCTCCACATGTTCAATACTGAAATGTCTGGGTGCATGTGTGTGTCGCTGAAATACAAAAATCATGGCACCAGTTAGCAACCTGGTATGGAAAATACAGTGAATTTAACAAGCGCAGCATTATGGGAGCCATTATTTATTTCATTTAAAGAAACAAACAAAAAAACAAAAAAAATTACATACAACGAAACAATACAAATCAATAAAATAAAAGGCGGCAGAAGAAGAAAAAAATCTTATATCTGCTCCTATTTACAACAAAAAATTATATTAATTTCAAACAATAATAAACCAAATAAAACAAAAACAAAAATTCAACTCCRCAAACAGTAACTCATGCAAATACAAATTAAACAATTTCATATTTTTTAACAATTTTGCTTTGATCATTTTTTAAAGGAATTAGTAGACCCAACGCTTTTATAATAATTTTCCAGATTATTCCATAGTCTTATACCCTTTACTGAAGTGCATCTCTCCTTCAAATTTGTTCAGATTTTCGGTTTAACAAACATTTGTAGTCCCTTCAAATTATAGCAGCTTTCCCTCTTAACAAAATTCGATTGGATGTTTGAAGGTAACACATTTTTATGAGCTTTATACATAGCTTGCAGAATATGATAATCAACCACTCGTAAAATTTTAATAATTTTAACTGATGAATCATTATATTAGAAGGGTGATTGTAATGCTTTCTTCTGATAATTATTATTACTATCATGTCAATGTGGAACTTTTCTACAATCAACAACAGAAAACAACAAATGTTTCCAGAGATTGTTCACATGTAAAACAAGACCTAAACCAGGACTAGTCAACAGGGTGTTGCTAGATAGTGGTAGGAGAAACACTGCGTAAAAGAACAAATATTGTATTTTACATTTTAAACTGGTTAATTTTTCCTGTATTGAAACATAAATTTACATTTATAATGATTATTAAAAGAACTCACCTGCGGGCCGGACTGAGTCATCCGTGGGCCGCATGTGGCCCGCAGGCCACCAGTATGGTCTGATAAGCTCAGCATCCTGAGACTTAAGCTGTCTTCACACTTAATATTAGCTGTAAGTAAATGCATGTAAATGTTTCAGGTCGTAGTTCTGTTTCTGATAAAATGAAGCATTTGAGGACCAGTATTCCTTAAATAATTGTCCAAAACATTTTATGCTAGCATGTTAAATGAAGATCATTTTATGATGAGAACTGTTTTAGCCAAACCTTAACAATGATATTATTGTGATTTAATTGTTCCCAAAGAATGTATTGAAAAGTACTCTCAGCTACTACCACGCCACATTTTAGCCAAACTAACTGAGACAGCCCTCAGTTGTAGATGGGGGAGTAGTGGCATTGAGGTTAGAGAAGCTGACCCCATGATGAGAAGACCGCTGGTTCAACTCCCTGGACTCACCAGTCCCACTCTGGGCCCTTGAGCAAGGCCCCTCAGCTGCTCTCCAGCACCTCAAAAATGGCTGCCCACTGCTCCACGTTTGTGCTCAGTGCTCATATGGGTGAAAAGCAGGGAATTCTTAAATTTCCCCAAGGGTATCAATAAAGTATCTATCTACGTACATCTAACCATCTGAAGGTTTCCTTAAACTCTGTTCAGTGGCTCATGAGATATTTTGCTAACAAATAGACACACGTTCATTGCCATATTAACTCTGTTTTTATAAAACCTTGATTAATAAAATGCTACAAAGTTAATGTTCATCAATGCAGACCCATTAGAACATATTCTTCCAGTTTTAATTACCATCCTGTGTCCTTGTTTTCCACTTGGTTCAGTTAAACTCAGAATTTGATGTAACATTCAGCAGACTTAAATCTGTGCTTTGATTTGTTGATGGCTCAGCATCTCCTCTCCGTCCTCCCAATTTTATTATCCCGCTCCTCTTTGCAGGTAATGACCTGCCATAGACCGATAATAAGCTGTCACATGGGGCTAATAACCTGCAATAACTACACTGATGAGACCGACTGTGCTTACACTGGCTGCCACCTTCAAATTATAACCTATTTAATCATTTTAGAAAGA